ATAGACAAACAGACAAACGCAGCAGATCTTAAAGCTCACCTTCACTCCTGAGAGAGAGAGAGAGAGAGAGAGAGAGAGAGAGAGAGAGAGAGAGAAAAAACAGACCTTCATAAAACAAAACCATTAGCGTAACATCTCAAACACAGAGCTTTAAAAACACTACTGGCTCTAGTAACACCAAGGTCATGGGTTCAATTTCCAGGGAAAGCTTTAACTAATAAAATGTACACCTGCAAAGTTGTTATGGATACATAAAAACTATGTTTTAAACACACATTTGATTCATACATTCAGATAAAACCAAATTCATTTCGATGCTATTGAAAATGACACCAACATTCATCCAATGAAACACTGAAAAATCCAATGGAACAAGCAACTGTTCCAAATGCATTAGCAACTGCCTAGCAACCCCTAACAACACCTTGGCAACTACCTAGCAACACCTAATGACACACTGGCAACTGCCCAGAAACTTCTAACTACACCCTAGTAACTGCCTAGCAACCCCTAACGACACCTTATCAACTACCTAGAAACCCCTAACGACACCTTGGTAACTACCAAGCAACCCCAAACAACATCTTAGAAACTACTTAGCAACCCCTACCAGCACCCCAGCAACTACCTAGCAACCCCTAACAACGCCTTAGCAACTACCTAGCAACCCCTAATGACACATTGGCAACTGCCTAGCAACTCTAAAGAACAAGTTAGCAACCTCAAATGACATCTTGGCAACTACCTAGCAATTCTAACAACACCTTAGTAACTACCTAGCAACATCTTAGCAACTACCTACACTCTAAAAAATGCTGGGTTAAATACAACCCAGTGCTGGGTAAAATAGGGACAAACCCAGCAATTGGGTTGTTTTGACCCAGCGGTTGGGTTAAATGTTTAACCCAACCTTCTGGGTAGTAACCCAACCTCTGAGTCAAAACAACCAAATTGCTGGGTTTGTCCCTATTTTACCCAGCACTGGGTTGTATTTAACCCAGCATTTTTTTTTATTAGAGTGTAGCAACCCATCTCAACAGCTTAGCAAATCCACAAGGCATATAGAATTGTTTTAGATTACAAAAGGTAAATCTAACCGTCAAACTTCAAACCACTCTGTAGGATGCTGCCTCATCATATTCTGATGTTTTATGAATGACAGCCATGTGCTGCTGTATTTGAACCCTTTCGGCTACAGCAGCCATTATAAGAAAACACCCCTTTACAGCATGCATTTTCTCTTCATCCAATGGAAATTTGTGCAAAGATGTATTTTCAATGTTTTGTTGTTGGGTTAAATGTTTAACCCAACCTTCTGGGTAGTAACCCAACCTCTGAGTCAAAACAACCAAATTGCTGGGTTTGTCCCTATTTTACCCAGCACTGGGTTGTATTTAACCCAGCATTTTTTTTTATTAGAGTGTAGCAACCCATCTCAACAGCTTAGCAAATCCACAAGGCATATAGAATTGTTTTAGATTACAAAAGGTAAATCTAACCGTCAAACTTCAAACCACTCTGTAGGATGCTGCCTCATCATATTCTGATGTTTTATGAATGACAGCCATGTGCTGCTGTATTTGAACCCTTTCGGCTACAGCAGCCATTATAAGAAAACACCCCTTTACAGCATGCATTTTCTCTTCATCCAATGGAAATTTGTGCAAAGATGTATTTTCAATGTTTTGTTGTCTGAACATACAAAAACTTAGACTTAGTCAAGCAAATAAACTCACATTCTTATTTTAAAGCACATGACTTCAAAATTCACATTTAAGACTCTTAAAGTAATCATGGCTCAAAAATGGCTTTATATTCTGGTTTTAAGACTACAAACTGAACAACGCTACTCCCTACTGACATACAAATAAATCCAAAAGATATTATGTTGATCCAGATTAATAACACACCTGCGTCTACACTCCATCAGCACTGGTTCACAGGCTCAGATTCAGATGCTTCTTATACAATCACAACTGAAGAGTTCAGCTCGAGCAGACTGAGCTCAGCTTCAGCGCCAGACACACACCAGATCCCTCCGGAGCGGATTCATCCCACAGGGAGACGCACACAGAAACACACACAACTACAGACCCGGGGAACGATTGGAAGCGTCAACGAGACCTAATGCAAGAAAATGAACAGAGAAAAATACCTGCACTGACTAAAATAACATTTAAAACATTTGCAAGAAGAACGAAACTGCAACTATAAATAATATCAACTAAAAAAAATGTGTAAATGTATATGAACTCATTCAGAGAAAATAATCATACGTTACATTTTGAGATAAGTAAATAAGAAATCAACGACATCACAAAAACAAACCAGCTTGCAGCATAGTAGTTCAAGTAAATATTGATGCAGGCGTCTCCATGAAACGACCAAACAAATCAAATTAGGTTCTAACTCAGTTCATACAAAACTCCTGGATACATTTCAAAGACTCTTATGGTTAAAATGACCAAATATTACCCAATCTGTTCCAACTGCATAGCAACCCCTAACAACACTTTAGCAACATATTGCAACAGCTTTGCAACCACACAGCGAGGCATATAGAATTGTTTTTACATCACAAAAGGCAATTGTTACCTTCAAATCTCTCAACAGGATGCGGCCTAAGCACAAATGCTTTAATGCACAATCTCAATCTCTATTATATTATGATGTATTATGAATGACAGCAATGAGCTGGTCTGTTAACCCTTTCATGTGCTGTGGTCATTAAGAGAAATCATCTATTCTTTTACTGCATGCAGTTGAGTGCACAACCTAAAAAATGATTTACCAGCTTAACTGGATTAATATTTGCACAAAGTCCTGTAACTTTACCAGAAGGAAACATGGAAACATGATGCATTTTATCAAATGAATGATACAGCTACAAAATGATATAGGGTAAAACGTGTAGTAATCACTACGCATACACCAATCACATGGTACAAATCATGTTTAGTGTTTTTTTTGCATTAACAGTCTCAACATTAATAAATTGCTTGCTTGATGAGGATGGTATATTTGATGACAGTTCAAACCAATCTGATCTACACTCCCGTCAGTCTTTGCAGAAGTTGATCATGTCAGTGCACAAATCGCATGCACACATGCATCAGTCACCAGTTTTCACAAACCTGTAACAAGTCACTGAGCTGTATGCATGACCTGACACGAATCCAAAAAAAGACAAAAATAAATTGGAGACTATTTAGATCACAAAACACTGTGCATAAATATAAAGGCATAAGCAACAGCATTTTTTTTAAATGTACATTTTATTAATTAATAGTAATAATAATAATTATTATGACTATTGTTATTTTATTTGTATTATTAAAACGGTTAAATATTCTGAAAAAAACAAACAATATATAATGTGTATGTAATTAATATTGTGTGCAATCATTCATGACTTACATTTTTTAAAAAGGAAATTTAAAAAATATATTTTTTTATTCTGATAGTGGTTATACTAGGAGAAACCTCAAAAATGACCCTTGACCTCAATCTTAGGAAACCGAAACCAAAACTTTGGCCATTTTAGTTGAATGCTTGGTTGAAAATTCACGACAATATGAGAAAACTCTCCAAAAACCATCTAAAAACACACCAAAAGCAAGAATCACTTTTAAATGCAGACGTGAACGGTATTCTAGTGCGCGCAGCATCTACATTCAGAATGCATGAAAACCTATAGACGTATTTCTATTCTCTTCTATTCTGTCCTGTACCTCCTTCCTCCTGCTCTCGGCTCCGGGTCTGGTGATGAGCGCCGTGTCGCCGCACACCACCGCCGCGTCCTCCACGAACACACAGTCCGGCAGCGCCTCGTCCGCGGGCAGCTCCACCACCTCCAGCCCGAGCCGGTGCTTCAGAACCGACACGTATTCGTCGTGCTCCTCCTGCGCTTTGAGCAGGTCCACCTCCAGACTGTCGGTTCTGAGCGCTTCTTTGGCCAGAGACTGAGAGACCGCGCGAACCACCGCGTGCGTAAAGCTGCCGAACCCGGACATCAGCCCAGCCATGCCGCTCCGAACCCTGCGCGTTGTGTTTATTACTGGACTGTTTGTTTGTTTGTTGTTGTTGCTCCCCGTTGTGGTTCCGCATGCGCTCGGCTCAAGCTCTGAAAAGTGCGAGAACAGCGCGCTGATGACGTTAAGGACGCGCACCAATGTGACAAGAGATTGCAAGTCGAACAAACCAAATGTACCAAATATGAAATACGTTTTTGCTTTTGATAATGATATACTGAATTAAAAAAATACAGAATGTCTCAATTTAAACCCTCCCACAACCTTCCCATTCAAAAATATAGATATATTTAAATCAAATTAAATTCTGAAGAAAAAAAGGTTGTTTATGCAATTATATTTAGTTGTTTTGTGATTTGTGTATAGTCTCAAATAATTTTTTATCTTTGTTTTTGTCTAATTATTAAGCCTCACGTTTCTCAATTTTAATTAAAAATGTAAATATCCAAACAACAAATAAAAATAAGTTACTTTAGTTAAAGTTACTTTTTTTAGAGGCCCATAAAATGGTGCCACTTAACTATTCTTCACCGATGACACTGAAAACTAGAAATATCAATAAAAATGGGTCCACCTGAAGTTTGGTCTGTTAATAATAATAAAGTTTTGATCAAACAGCACTTTTAATCTATTATGCCAAGCAAATGACACTGATTCTTCACCAATGCTGTATAGACAATGAATAGCCGTGGTTTTGGATTTACAGTACGAGTGAAATAAGGTCTGTGGTTCAAATGACTCGAAGAGTCATACAGTACAGTCATAGCTCAAATATGAATTTCAGCACTGATGTGTTTTTTAAAAACATAGGCTGCTAAATAAGGACTACAGGGATGTACTTCAAGCACTGTAGTCCTTATATAGCCATTTAAACCCACAGGAAATTCCTGAGGGATCCCATGGAGAACTGACCATCTGTCTGACAGTCATGACTGAACAGCTCTAGTGCTGCGTGTTGCATTCCTTTCAATCATGAGAGTCACGTCTATAGCAACTGACACACTGCCATTGACCGCCACCAAAAGACAGACACCTGCAAAGCCATCAGACCTTTGAAATATACATCACACAAAAATAAAATATAAAGATAATCATGAAAAACACAGGTTCTTTTATTGGCATCTTTGGTTCCCTTTAACATCAGTGGAACATTCCCATTACACAAAAGGCTCTTTATAGTGGAAAAATGTACTTTAGATTATTAAAATGTTCTTCACACTAAGAAGAAAATGGTTCACTGAAATACGGAACCCCCGCACATGACATGCAGGGGAAAAAAAAGAAAGTAAATTGTACGCATGATTTACTGATTTGTTCCCTCGGTTTACTAAATCGTGCGCTCAATACAATAATTAGTTCCCTCGTTTTAAGTAAATCATGCACATGAAATAATAAGTCATTCTACTTCCTGTCCGCATTCTCACAAACCGATGTAGATGCCTCTCACTTTAAATGATTCCATGCAACACTGTAAGGCTTTTGAGAATGTCTCTATAACGCATTCAAAACTCGAAATAAAACCCAATTAAAGTGTCTCTGTCCATAACATAACGTAACGTAACAACATAACATAACATAACATAACATAACATAACAACAACATACCATAACATAACACATAACATAACAACATCACATCACATAATAACATAACGTATAACGTAACGTAATGTAACGTAACGTATAACATATAACACATAACGTAACATAACATAACAGCATAACACATAATTTAACGTATAACACATAACGTAACATAACATAACGTATAACGTAACGTAATGTAACGTAACGTATAACATATAACACATAACGTAACATAACATAACAGCATAACACATAATTTAACGTATAACACATAACGTAACATAACATAACGTATAACGTAACGTAATGTAACGTAACGTATAACATATAACACATAACGTAACATAACATAACAGCATAACACATAATTTAACGTATAACACATAACGTAACATAACATAACGTATAACGTAACGTAATGTAACGTAACGTATAACATATAACACATAACGTAACATAACATAACAGCATAACACATAATTTAACGTATAACACATAACGTAACATAACATAACGTATAACGTAATAATTTAACGTATAACACATAACGTAACATAACATAACGTATAACGTAAATGACATGCAGGGGAAAAAAAAGAAAGTAAATTGTACGCATGATTTACTGATTTGTTCCCTCGGTTTACTAAATCGTGCGCTCAATACAATAATTAGTTCCCTCGTTTTAAGTAAATCATGCACATGAAATAATAAGTCATTCTACTTCCTGTCCGCATTCTCACAAACCGATGTAGATGCCTCTCACTTTAAATGATTCCATGCAACACTGTAAGGCTTTTGAGAATGTCTCTATAACGCATTCAAAACTCGAAATAAAACCCAATTAAAGTGTCTCTGTCCATAACATAACGTAATGTAACGTAACAACATAACATAACATAACAACATACCATAACATAACACATAACATCACATAATAACATAACGTATAACGTAACGTAATGTAACGTAACGTATAACATATAACACATAACATAACATAACATAACAGCATAACACATAATTTAACGTATAACACATAACGTAACATAACATAACGTAATGTAACGTAACGTATAACATAACACATAACACGTAACGTAACAACATAGCATAACAACATAACACATAATGTAACGTATAACATGTAACATAACGTAACATAACATAACGTATAACGTAATGTAACGTAACGTATAACATAACATAACACATAACGTAACGTAACAACATAGCATAACAACATAACACATAATGTAACGTATAACATGTAACATAACGTAACATAACAACGTATAACGAAACGTAATTTAACGTAACGTATAACATAACACATAACACGTAACGTAACAACATAGCATAACAACATAACACATAATGTAACGTATAACATGTAACATAACGTAACGTAACAACATAACATAACATAACAACATACCATAACATAACACATAACATAACAACATCACATCACATAATAACATAACGTATAACGTAACGTAATGTAACGTAACGTATAACATATAACACATAACGTAACATAACATAACAGCATAACACATAATTTAACGTATAACACATAACGTAACATAACATAACGTATAACGTAATGTAACGTAACGTATAACATAACATAACACATAACGTAACGTAACAACATAGCATAACAACATAACACATAATGTAACGTATAACATGTAACATAACGTAACATAACAACGTATAACGTAACCTAACGTAATTTAACGTAATGCATAACATAACACATAACGTAACGTAACATAACATAACAGCATAACACATAATGTAACATATAACATGTAACGTGATGTAACGTAACGTATAACATAACACATAACGTAACGTAACATAACAGCATAACACATAATGTAACGTATAACATGTAACGTAACGTAACGTATAACATAACACATAACGTAACATAACATAACATAACATAACATAACAGCATAACACATAATGTAACGTATAACACATAATGTAACGTAACATAACATAACGTATAACGTAACGTAATGTAACGTATAACATAACACATAACACATAACGTAACGTAACATAACACATAATGTAACGTATAACACGTAACGTAACACGTAACGTAACATAACAGCAACAGATTTATAAAAAAGCAGACAGGGAGTAGAATGGATTATCATTTTGTGCGCACGATATACTTAAAATGAAGGCATTAATTATTATATTGAGAGCACGATATACTTTTTTATTTACTGAAAGGTTATTTGAGGAAACAAAAATGGTTCTTCTATGCATCACTATGAAAACTCCGTTTGGAAGCTGTATTTTTTTATATAGTGTTTTATGCATATTGTTTGAAAGCTGCTTCACATTGAATACCTTTTTTCTTGGTTATATATGAATGTTAGTGGAACATTCCATTTGATCATTTTGCAAACATTACAGGAACGTTACTTATGAATGTTCTCTGAACGTTCTGAAACAAGTAGTAACATTTAAAAAACGTTAGATGAATGTTCAACTAAAAAGTTTTGTAAAAACATTCCATGAATAATGTATAAATAACGCTTTCAGAACATGAAAGCGTTATTTATAAAGAATGCTTTTAGAACATTATTAAAGACCAGATAATGTTAAACGAATGTTCTATTAACGCTACTGGAAGAACATTAGTTTGACACATAACGTAACGGAACATAAAACATAATGTAACGTATAACATGTAACGTAACGTAACACGTAACGTAACATAACAGCAACAGATTTATAAGAAAGCAGACAGGGAGTAGAACGGATTATCATTTTGTGCGCACGATATACTTAAAATGAAGGCATTAATTATTATATTGAGAGCACGATATACTTTTTTATTTACTGAAAGGTTATTTGAGGAAACAAAAATGGTTCTTCTATGCATCACTATGAAAACTCCGTTTGGAAGCTGTATTTTTTTAATATAGTGTTTTATGCATATTGTTTGAAAGCTGCTTCACATTGAATACCTTTTTTCTTGGTTATATATGAATGTTAGTGGAACATTCCATTTGATCATTTTGCAAACATTACAGGAACGTTACTTATGAATGTTCTCTGAACGTTCTGAAACAAGTAGTAACATTTAAAAAACGTTAGATGAATGTTCAACTAAAAAGTTTTGTAAAAACATTCCATGAATAATGTATAAATAACGCTTTCAGAACATGAAAGCGTTATTTATAAAGAATGCTTTTAGAACATTATTAAAGACCAGATAATGTTAAACGAATGTTCTATTAACGCTACTGGAAGAACATTAGTTTGTAACTTTGAGAGAACCTTGCCCGAATGTTCTGAGAACATTTCTTGGTAGCTAACAGAAGACAATAGTGTCATTATTCAGCTCAGCTCAGTTCGGTTTAGGTTTTGTTTTCATCTGATAGCGTTAGTGCAATCAAATCGACAATATTAAGTATTTAATATTAAATATTAAACTTTACAATAAATGGAACCTTTCCATTGCACTTTATAGTGGAAAAAGGTTCTTCGGATTATTTCTGAAGAACAG